CTACTTTTATCCGTAATGAGTAGGCTTTCGAAAATATCAGTGGATTTAATCTCCAATGCCTACTCATTGTGAATACAAGTAATGCTGTCGATTTAATTGACAGATGACCGTGTGTTTTCTTAACACGCTCGGGATAAAAAAGGTTATATGAAAGAATCCTGACTGGAGGGGGAAGACAAGTATACCGGTTCGGGCGAACTCGAAACACCAACCCGTCACATTTGGTATGAGATCACCTTTTGGGCAGCAAGTCAGAGTCAAATACAATGGCATCCTGAGCCCAGTAAATCAGTAATATGAGATGTATTCATCCAATTTCGTTTAAGGTGATTAAAGACTCGTAGTAGAAATTTCCCACAATGATATGAGTTGAGTTGACGTTTCCATTGAATTTCACATAGCCTTGCTTTCCCAAAAGTAGTTCTCATCCAGGCACCAGTCGACTGCAGTTTCGACCTAGCATCGGTCTTATTAACACCCCCAGCGGGACTCGAACCGTGACAGTGCACAATATGAGCTCGACACATTAACCACTCCACCACATTGTCACGAGTGTCCTCGGGTCACAAAGAAGATGTGAATTTCAAGGAACGCCAGGCATTTTTCAAATTGCATCCTGTGGTGGGATTGCCGACGAAGAAAACTTATATTTGCTATAACAATCGACGACATTAATTATATTTGACTAGGTTTTCGTGGCTACCAGCAAATCAGATCTAGGAAATATGTTCATTCTTTTTCGTTGCAAGGTGCTGAAGGACTGGCGATCCGTGGCAACGTGGCAATGGGAAAAAAATTTGGTATACTCTGTGGGTTGGCTGCTCGCGCCTATTAGTGGTGCATATACCCGAGCTACCGGAGGGAAGTGCATGTTTGGCAAGACAGGAATGATTGAGTGGTCCGAACGGGGGCGTCATGCATCAGAAGGACAATTTGTACTCTCGTTAAGAGTTTGACGTTTCGAGATTACAAGCGGCTCCGTCATGGTTCGAGTCCCGCTGCAGTTGCTGATAAGACCTAGACAAGGTCGAAACTGCAGTCCACTTTGGATGATAACACATTTTAGGAAAGCAAGGCTATGTCAAATTTAATGGAAACGTCAACTCTACTCATATCATTGTGTGAAATAAAACGAAGTGAACATGTATCAATTTATGCCTGCTTCCAGCATCCCACTGTTGAACGAGTACATTTCAAGACGATATGGAGGCATGACAATAATGCTATTTGAGGCAGATAAACCAACTCTTTTAAAGTGTGTGGCTGGATGGCTTATATTACCTCTTCCCTCTATGCAATCGCTTGCTTGTTAGGCTGTGATTAGCAAGTCAGCCTCTAGATGTGTTGCCAACCAGACACATTTGAGCTAACACTGAGATGGCCTATGAGACGAACACTATATTAAAAATAAGCACCCTAGTTACTCCTGGTCGTCTAAGATGATGAAGTAGTGGGAAAGGAAACTTCTCCAAATGAAATTAATAGGCCTCAGGATGACATTGTATTTGACTCAGACTTGCCGCCCAAAAGGTGATCTCATACCAAATGTGCCTGGTTGGTGTTTCGCGTTCGCCCGAACCGGTATAATTGTCTCCCCCCCAGTCAGGATTATTTCATATAACCTTTTTTATCCGGAGCGTGTTAAGAAAACACACGGTCATCTGCCAATTAAATCGACAGCATTACTTGTATTT